TTGATTTCTTATAAAATGCCCCAGAACAAAATATTCCATTTCAGATCAAATGTAAATGTTTCTCTTATTTTTGGCAAGGAAAAAAAATCATTCCATTTTTTGTTTGGCTGCTGAGCTGAATAATCAGTTATTCATCTAGCTTTGTTCATCAACTGTCAAAACCAGCAGCCTATTTAAAATTACATCAAATGGAGAATAGCTGAGAGAGATTATGAGGTGATTTTAGCAGCTTTTTTTGGTATTTTATTCAAAAGACATTTTTTAAGAAAGACTTAGCACAATTATTTTTTCTACATGAATACCTTGCAGCTGGAAAGACAACAGTTGCAATGGTTCATGTGGAATTCTATTTCCATTTGCTACCAAAACACTAGTGGCTTTATGCACTTTTCGGTTGGTTGGTATTGTTTGTACCTCACAAATAAAAAGTAGTAAATACTTTGTTATTTATGGAGATGGGCAGTAGGATTAGGGTGGATTTGTTTGCAATCAGTAGTTGTAGTAGCTAAATTAGATAGTGAAACCTCAGAAGTGAATTAAAAAGATATTATTGATGGTTCAAGGACTTTTTTCATTTAATAGGATTCCATGTAGTTATATATAATTTGTCCACTAGAGTAAGATAAGATATATAGAAAATTGTATGCACACATCATAAAAGTGATTATCTGGAGCTCAACCTCAAACTGTATTCTAAAGGGATATAAAGTATTAACACTGTAAATCTAATTAACAGATCTCTGTTAATTAAGTTCTGTAAATCTATTTTTTCTGGCATATGGAGAAGTACCTTTGCATAAATTAGTACATCAATCTAATTCAGGGAATATGAATGACAAGTTAAGAAAAGAATGTTCTTTCAATCTGCTCTTCTAAATTAGCAATTATTAAATTACCATTTTAATGCTTTTAATTTTTTGTAGATAGATAATATAAGTATTTCCATATATAATTTAACCCTGTTATAACATTTAAATATATTCAAAACTGACTTGGATTAGGAAAAATTTAACTCACTATCTGGAGCTTTATTTTAGACTACATACCTAAAATTTGCTTAAAATCAAATCAAGATTGAACAATTTAACTGATTCACATTCTTTTTATGCCATTTTACCTCATTAATAATGATAATACATTCCAGTTTAAAATTAATTAAGCTAAGAGCTAGTTTAGAAAATTTCATATCAACAGCTTGAAAAAAAAATCAATGGCAAATCAGAACTTTTCAATACAGATAATTAACTCACATAAGTAGTTGCATGAATTAGCTTATAAAATTCATTCATTAAAGCTGAGATTTCATCATTTATCTTGGAATATGTTACATAGCCTCTAGAAATAGAACATAGAGATCATATGTAGAAATAAAGTCTATTGTTGCCTAATTCATGAGTGTTCCGACTATAAATCTACCGCGTGCGTGTGTGAGAATGTGCACACATGTTTCCGCCAGCCCCCGCCCTCCACACGCTCCTTACTAGACCCAACATCCATATTGCTTAAATAGTGGGCTCAATCTTATCGCCTTCAACAGACCTATACTTTTGACAGTGGTGGAACCTCTGGACCACTGGATAAAAGGAGTGCAAACACTGCATAATTCCTTCTGAACCAGAGTACCCCATCATACCTGAGGAACTTAAATTTTCTTTTTTTGTGAGTAGTTTGAATCTGTTAATATAACAAAGGAAAATTGTCTGATCCAAACATTCCAAGAGCATATAAAACTGCTGTGAATAACTATGCCATATAGTTATAAAATTTCCCGCACTACTTCCCTCAAAATTAACTACTCATCTTTTCCTATGTATTCTTTTACAAACTGAGTCAGATGCTAAAACGTTCCTTTAATTTTTCTATTGAATTAATTTTATACAAGTGCAGTTATACTCAAGCCAGGAACTGCAGTGGCAACTTAAAGAAATCTTCTTAGAACCAGTGTGACAACAAACTAAATATGTGAAGAAGGAAGAGATGCAGTTGGAGAGCACCAAGCAATGCGTCAGAAAGGTCCATCTAGATTGGTCAGCTTTAGAGACATCCAGCACTGTACAGGTTTAGAGACATCTTGGACAGGTTGCACTGTGATAAAGTATATCCTGATTCACTACATTCAGAAACCCCATGATATAATTAACAGTTAATTTTTAAATGCAAATGCAGCAAAAATAAATAAATAGATCTAGTAATGCAACTAGGCAAATGAGTCTACAGTGTCTTTTCATTTTGAACTTCCATAATTTGAGAGCTGGTATACATGTGATCAAAAGCTTAATTTTCGTACCTAAATACAAATCATATTTGTTTCAGTGATACTGTAGTGTTATCAGGAGCAAAAGCTGTATGACCATGCCTACCTATTAACAATCACCTTTACAGGCTTAAAAATCATTCAGGTTACTTACCATATTGTTGGAGGTTCGGAACCTTCTATTTCCAAGTAATCATACTTTTCTTCCATTTGAAAATCTGTAAATATTAGTGAAATGGTATCTCCAGGCTCTGCCACAATGGTCCATGTGCAGTCTGCATTATTATGATATTCATTTGGGAAACCGGGGCTGGAGACGATGCCACTGGATCCTCTCATTGTTCCTCCACATGCATCTTCAGCTGTTTGAAAAAAATATGCAGCAAGGAAATGTGAAGTGTTATTAAAAGGCTATCATGGTTACACTCCATTGCAACATTGTGTTACCTTCTCTGCAACACAAATAATTACTGTTATCCTAATGTGTTTGGATAATTTATTATTTTATGGGAAACTTCTAATAGGCTTCCATTGTGTGATTTTGATTAACTTTTCCCCAATTCATCTTCATGAAAAATGCTGTGAAAAATATCAAATTAATTTATGGTTCTCACATTTGCTTAACTCCAGACTTACTTTTGGATCAAATTTCTTAGCATTTGCAGGTTGCTGTGTGTAGAATGCAACATTCATCCTTAATGTAAATTATATTGAAAAATGAGATTTCGTTAACAAGGGCATGAATGCCCTGGCCATTCTGTGCTAACTACACTATAATTACTTATTTCAGTGGCTACTTCTAATTTTTTATTATAAATGAAATCATAGACCTTTTCTTCATTTTTTCCAGTGAAAAAGCAATTGCTGCATAGCAGTTTTCAGATGAGTGCTGTTCATGGGTAATTTCTTGAATGTCATGTCCCTGACACCTTCATGGTCATGCTCTTTACAACAGTCTCATTTTGATGAGAGGATTTTTTCAATAGATCATATATTTCTGATATGGTTGTATTAGTACACCTTTCCTGGAGATACATTTTATTTCATAATATACTCAGAGCTAGATACTAATTTATGCATACTGGGAGGAGGGAGGTGGGCAAGTTTACTCACATACACAATCCCACTGAAACCAATAGGACTAATCCTGTGAGCAAGTGCCATCTTTACACAGAGTTCACAGATTTTAGCCCTCCGTTAACTGAGAGAAAATGAGTAAAGCAATGTGGCTTCCCTTTAAAGAAATTCATATATATTCTAACATCTGAAAATTGCTTTCATGTGTGTTATGTCCATTATGCTGCCAAAAAAATTTTTGTGAGCTAATAAAATTAATTCAAGTTGTAATGCTACCACTTTAAAAAAACGGCCATACTTGCAGAGAAATGGAGAAATGTCACATTTTATCAAAATAACTCAAACTTTATTACCCAAATATATTAAACATTCCTTTAACAGAATTCCTGCTTATTGTCAATTAAAGCACTAACATTAATAGAATGTGAATAATAGTCAGAAGAGCTGACAAATTAATGCCAAGGTTAAAACACATTTATTTTTGAAAGAGTG